GTGGTGCCTGCATATCACACAGAACCATCTATAAACCAGGCATGAGTTTTCTCTTCCTCAGTCAACTGATCATAAGGAACTCCCCATGAGGCCATAGGTGCAGAGTGGGAGAGGGAAAGTAATGTGACTGGAGTGGAGACAACAGGCATTTGGGCAACTTCCTCATGCAAATTACTTGTGCCTTCAGGTCCTGCTCAAGCCCGATCTCTGATATACCACTTCCATTTAATGATGGAGTGCTGCTATGCATGTCCAAATTTATGACTCTGTGGGTCAGACAACAGCCAGTTCATGATGGGCAGCTCAGGCCTCATGGTCACTTGGTGGCCCATGGTTAGGTGTTCAGTCTCTACTAAAGCCCAATAACAAGCTAAAGCTGTTTCTCAAAAGTAGAGTAGCTATCTTCAGAGGATATCAGGGCTTTGCTCCAAAATCCCAAGGGTCTATGTTGCGATTTACCAATAGGGACGTGCCAAAGACTGCAAACAGCATCACTATCTACTACAGACACTTCAAGCACCATTGGATCAGCCAGATCATATGACCCAAGTGGCAGAGCAGCCTGCGTGGCAGCCTGAACCTGTTGCAGAGCCTTCTGTTGTTCTGAGCCCCACTGAAAACTAGCAGCTTTCTGAGTCACTTTATAAATAGGCTGAAGCAACGCACCCAAATGAGGGATATGTTGCCTCCAAAATCCAAAGAGACCCACCAGATGTTGTGCCTCCTTTTTAGTTGTGGGGGAAGCCAGATACAAAAACTTATCCTTCACTTTACTAGGACTATCTCAACATGCCCCACACCACTGGACCCCTAGAAATTTCACTGAAGTAAAAGGTGCCTGAATTTTTACTGGGTTAATTTCCCAACCTGTAGCACGCATATGTCTCACCAAAAGTCTAAAGTCATCGATACGTCTTCCTTACTAGTTCCAATCAGCATAATGTCATCAATTTAATGAAGCAGTGAGATGTCTTGTGGAAAGGAAAGGCAATCAAGATCCCTATGGACTAAATTATGACATAGTGCCAGGGAGTTGATATACTTCTGAGGAAGCACTGTAAAAGTATACTGTTGACCTTGCCAGCTGAAGGCAAACTGCTTCTGATGTTCCTTTGAAATTGGTATCAAGAAAAAGACATTGGCCAGATCAATAGCTGCATACCAAGTACCAGGAGATGTACTAATTTGCTCAAGCAATGACACCACATCAGGAACAGCAGCTGCAGTTGGCGTCACCACCTGATTAAGTTTACGATAATCTACTGTCATGCTCCAAGACCCATCTGTTTTTTGCACAGGCCAAATCAGTGAATTAAATGGGGATATGGTAAGAATCACCACCCCTGCATCCTTCAAGTCCTTGATGGTGGCAGTAATCTCTGCAACCCCTCCAGGGATGTGGTCTTGCTTTTTATTTACTATTTTTGTAGGTAGAGGCAGTTCTAATGGTTTCCACTTGGCTTTTGCTACCATAATAGCCCTTACTCCACATGTCAGGGACCCAATGTGGGAATTCTGCCAATTGCTGAGTATATCTATTCCAATTATGCATTCTGGACCTGGGGAAATCACTATAGGATGGGTTTGGGGATCCACTGAACCCACTCCACTGTGAGACGCACCTTAGCTAAGACTCCATCAATAACTTGACCTCCATATGCCCCTACTCTGACTGGTGGGCCACAACGATGCTTTGGGTCTTCTGGAATTAGTATCAGTTCAGAGCCAGTGTCCAGTAATTCCTGAAAGATCTGATTATTTCCTTTTCCCCAATGAACAGTCACTGTCCTAAAAGGCCTCACATTCCTTTGGGGAAGGCTGGTTAAAAGATTGACATTATAAATGTTTAGCAATGTAGTGGGGTCCTTCCTCAAAGGGACCCAGCCTCCCCTTCATTCAAGGGGTTGTGGGTCTGTAAACTGACTCAAGTCTGGGAATTGATTGAGAGGCCATGACTGTATTCTGATGATTCAATCTAGCCTGCTGTTCATGTGACCTAGAATTCTTCTGTCTATACAGAGCAAGTAAATATTTAGTAGGTTTGCCATGTATTTCATTACTAGGAACACCATGTGCAAGTAGCCAATGCCATAATTCCACACGAGTCAGACTATTCTCATTACTGTTCTGACTCTGCTGTCCATTATGGTAACCACGCCCACCTTGCCTTTGTCAATTAACTGCTGCCACTTGGCCCCTACTACCATGGGGTCCAATCAGCCCCATTGTAGTTAAGTGTCTTAGTTCAATTATGGCAGTTCCCACTGTCAAATCCGGCTTACATAAAATAGCAATCACAGCAGTATTCAAGGATGCTGGGGCTCCCTCACAAATTTATTCCTCACCGTACTGGTGAAAGGCGTGTGTTCTGGACTCTCCATTTCTGGCTCTAGGGATCTAATCTGATAAATCCATTCTGACAGGCCAATTTCCTTAAGCCTCTGGATACCTTTGTCTACATTATACCAAGGCAGGTCTGGTACTTCAACTTGACTTAAGGTAGGCCACTGCATAATTCATGCTTCAGTAAGCCAACCAAATAAACTATTGGATCCTTTCCTAACCTCTCAAGCTGAAACATTGAATGAAGAATCTGGACTTAGTGGGCCTAAATCAAACTCAGATTGATCCAATCTTACATTCCTTGCACCATTATCCCACACCCTCAATAGCCATTCTCATACATATTCTCCAGGTTTCTGTCTGTACATGTTAGCAAAATCAAGTAGGTTTTTTCAGGTGTAGCGTACCACCTCCTCAGTCACACTTCGTATTTCACCTTTTGGAGCTTGCTTGGACTTAACTTTAGTTATAGGTCTGTTGTTGTTGTTGTTATGTGCCGTCGAGTCGGCCCAACTCATAGCGACCCCTCCTTGGGTTTCCGAGGCATTATCACTACGGAAGTAGGATTGCCCAACCTTCCTTCCGAGGAGTGGCTGGTGGGTTTGAACCACCAGCCGTCTTGGTTAGCAGGCAAGTGTCTTAGCCACTATGCTACCAGAACTCCCAGTTATAGGTCTAGAAGCTACAATAGGTGGTTCGGGCAGTTCCTGAGAACATTCAGGAGTGTCTTCCATGGCTTCTGCCTCAGGCAATGACCCAGCAGGAACAATCAGGTTAATCCCATCAAGCTCAGGTGGAGAGGATGATGGTTTTACAGTAATCCCTTCAGATGGGAGTGCTTCAACAGAATTTACAGGCTCCATATCCTGATCTTCCTGACTATCTTCCCATGTGTCCCCATTCCAGGTTTCTGGATCCCATTTTTTCCCAATTAATGCCCTCGCTTTAACTTCAGACACCATTCTGGGTTGGTAATTTAATTGGTGTTGTAATTCAGCCACCCTTACAATAAGACTCTGGGTTTGGTTTTCAGCAATATCAGTTCTGTTACTAGAAGAAATAAGGCTTTATTTCAGAGCACAACTGGAAACCCTGAGGTCTTTTATGTGGCACTTAAGCTGTGACTCAGCAGCCCTGAGCTCATCTTGCTCTTTCACAACTTTGTCTAGTGTAAGTAGGACCAGCCAGCTTCCTTATACTCCTCATGCTGACAAAATTGCAAGAAAACTATCAAATATGCGATCACCCAGAGCCTCACATCTCAAAAGAACTTGATCTATTGGTTGTACTATTTTCCATATTAATGTTGCCACCTTACATCATGGATTAGCAGGGGTTCAGAGGTCTAATAATGACTGTGCATGCCTAGAGAAGTTTAAATATTTAGTGTAAAGAAGAAAAGACTAAGAGAAGATCTGATAGCTGTCTTCCAATATATTAAAAGCTTTCCAGTAAAACCAATTGCCATCAGGTCAACTCTAACTCATGACAGCTCTGTGTGTGTCAGAGTAGAATTGTGCTCCATGGGGTTTTCAATGGCTAATTGTTCAAAAGATTGCAGAGCTTTTCTTCCAAGTCCCCTGTGGGTAGACACAGACTTCCAACCTTAGATTAGCAACTGAACATGTTAACCATTTGCACTACCCAGGGATTCCAAAATCTCTCCACAGGAAGAGAAGATGATGTATTGCTCCAGTTGATAAGAGGTAGACTATAGAGATGGAGATGTCAGCATCATAAAATAATTGCCTAAGAACCGTAACTGTCAACATTTTTACTTGGGGTGCCATAGAAAACAGTCTCAGGATTGGGTATCATGGGGTAATATTGGCTAATGTTTGGTTAAGGGTACTTTCTACATTTTCAATATCACAAATGGAACAGAAAATCATATTTCCCTTTTCATAAAATTAGACACAAAATGAATCACTGTTGACAGTGACTGTTCTTCCGCCACTTCCACTTTCTCCGAATTAGGAGCTGTGTTTTTCCTGCCCCTTCCTTTACCCTTGTCAGACGGGATAGCTTGCCATCTTTGACACATTTAAAACAAAAACTGGTACAAACTCTTTCTAGCACTTACATCAGTGGTTAAACTAGATACAAAGCTAGAACCCTATGGCATGAGAAATCTAAGAAACAAACCTCTTTTCCTCTGTGAAAGCAGCTCTGAGTAAATCCATACAAAGGCCCTTGAAGAACTTGAGTAGATTCTGTCACCTGTTATTCTGCTGACTAATACATTGAGTGACCTAAGTCCTAGTCTTCTTTTTCAATTGAGCTATAACTTACATACGATAAAATGCAGAGTTTTCAAGTACAGAGTTCTTGACATTGTTTAAATTTTGACACAATATATGCCTATGAAACTACCATTCCAATCAGCATGTAGAAGTGTGCACTTAAAGTGTGCATGATCATAAAATAGTTGCACTATTTTTTGAAGCTTCTGGTCTAGATATGAAAAAAATGACAAAAGCAAAATATTTTAAACAACTTTTTCTTAAAATCCAAAGTTTTAGTTACAAATATTGAGGCTTTATCCTCCCTACAACCTGGGGCATTTAAAAAAAAAAATTCAGGTTCTTCCAGTGTTTTGAAATAGAGTCTAATTTTATCATCCTCATTTGGGCGGGAAGATCCCTTTCCTATCCATGGGTTAGACTTTTGTACTGTACTGCCCCCTTCTGTCCAGAAAAGAAGCTAACACTTGGTTGGCTCTCAGACATGTCCCTGAGATCACCTTGCCTTTAGGGACAAGTGTATGCCTTTCTTGCTTCTCAGGTATTCATTTCTGTTGGAAGCTTAGAACTGACTCCACCACTTCTGAGGTATTCAAAGGTGTAATGATGTTGCCTTTGCCCTGAACCCCAGGTGGTTCAGAATGCTGTGTGTCTATTCTATTCAGGAGGAAAAGTCCAGGATGCACTACTATCCATAAGTCAAGATGACTGGCTTTTGTCTTTTTTAGTGAAATAAATATGTTAAAAAGTCTGCCATTTTAACCATTTTTAGGTGTACAATTCATTGATATTAATTACATTCACCACGTTGTTACCATCATCATTATCTATTTCCAAAAGTTTTACATTGCCTTTAACAGAAACTCAGAGCCCCTGAAGCAATAACTCTCCATTTTCCCCTCCCACTCACCCCTGGTGACCACTGATAACCTTTTGACTCTGTCCATTTTCCTATTCCAGATATTTCATGTAAGAGACCATACAATATTTGTCCTTTTGTGACTGACTTATTTCACGGAACATAAGGCTTTCAAGGTTCATCCGTGTTGCAGCATGTATCAGGACTTATTTCTCTTTATAGCTGAGTAATATTCCATTGTATGTATGTTACACATTTTGCTTATCCATTCGTTTGCTGATAAACACTTGGGTTGCTTCCACCTTCTGTCTGTTGTGGATAATGCTGTGTTCAGGTTTGTGTTGGTGTTCCTGAATAACTATCTTTCTTACTTTATGTTGTTGTGACAGGAAAAATCCTACATGAGGAGCATGTTGAACTCTTGATGGAGGAGTTTGCATTCTTGAAAAAAGAAGTGGTGGGGAAAGACTTGTTGAAAGGATCTCTCCTCTTCACAGGTCAGTTTTAGTGAAGCTTCAGGTCCCCTTAGTGGAGAGGCCGGTAGGCCAGTCGGATTCTGTCCCAGCCTCAGACGTGAGTTTGGCTTCCTATCTGCTAAAGACTCAGACTTAGGGCCAATTTCACATTTTCCCATGCTTCAACGAACAATAAAATTACCTATTTTATTCTTCCCTGAAATGAGACTTAATTCCTTAGAGGGCCTTGGGTCAAAAGTGTGTTAGAAATTAAAAGTATATTTATGCTTCTGTCCTAATCTATTGGGCAGAATTTTCCTTCATGAAATCTTAAGTTGGAGACATTTTCTCCACAGGAAATTGTGCACGAACACTCTCTTTTTTAAAAAAAGGACTGGGAGATGGGTGCTTAAGGAGGAAAATGTCTATATGCTTCTCTGTGAGGAACAGACAGAATGTATATCCTCTTTCCCCTGCCAGCAAATTGCAGAAATTTTGGCTGCGACCTCACAGTTTGATCCACACATTTGGCTGTTTAGTTGCTATTGGTCATTCTCTGAGCAGTTCCATTAGCTGTGGGAAATGAGGCGTCCTGGTAGCTCCTGCTCTTGAGATCACCTTTGGAAGGACTCTTCTACCCCTCCAGCCTTGTCTGGCTACACTTCTGGGTATATTGGCTACCTTTCCTGAGGGCTTTCATTACCGAAAGGAGACCTGATAGGGCCCGACACTGGTGAGTACTAAAACCACTCATGTATTCATGAGTTTCCTGAAAATAAAGTGGAACCTCATCAGATCCTTTCAAAATCCATTCTTTAAAATGATATAATGTGAGTGATGACAACAGATAATAATAACCATTACTCTATACTAGAAACTGTGCTAAATATGTGAAGATGATAAAAACCTATGTGGGTATTTATTAGCCCATTATACAGATATTGTACAGTTATTAGCTATTACACAGGTAGAGACACTGAAGCTTCAAGAGGTGAGTTGCTTCACCAAGTTCACACAGTAGTTGTGTGGCAAGAGCCAGGTTTGAGCTCCCTCACTTACTACACAGCTCAGACTTCTAGGGTCTGCTCAGTACTCTGTCCAAAGCACCAGACCAGTGGAGAAACCAGACCAGAGGGACCCTTCCTTCATTTGTGAATTTGATGTTTAGGTCCTAGTGATTTTAAACCATGTTATATATGAGGCTCCTAGTTTTTGTTTGCTTTTATTTGTAACTTTTTGCTATAGAAAATACTCGTTGTTAATTATGAATTTCTATAAATCAGTATCAAACTTGTAAGAAATATTTGGCTCATGGAGCAATGTAACAGGTAAGAAACTTTACATTTAGGTTCTGTTTAAGATGAACTGGGGACAGAAAGGAGCAGTATCTGGACCAAGCACCTTTCTCAAACATACTCTTTTGGGTGTACTTTTCTACATGAAATTAGGAAGTTTAAGAAAACATTTAACACTGTTACAGGTAGTCCCCAACTTACAACAGAGTTCTGTTGCAGCAATTCCATCGTTGAGTCTGACATAAGCCAGATACCTCATTTTGTTTTTGAGGGTTGGAAATATTACATATAAACTTACAGATATATTCTAATACATACATACATAAACAAGCACACAAATCATAAAAATTGAAGAAGAATTGACTGCAAAAAGGGTGTGGGGGCAGTGTCTGACCTCCTCTAACTTCACAAGAGGAAAGGAGGATCAGAACAATAGCCTAAGACTAGTTTCTATGAGGCAGAGGTCATACATGCCACTACCCTTAAACCCCTTTACCAATTCTTACACCAACTATCCCTCCCAAAGTACCCTATACTTTTCTGCTGGTTTTGACAATTTGTTGCAGTTGCCACAGACAACTCACAGACAGTACTCACAATTAAGGGGTTTATTAGGGAAGTAACTGGTTACAATTAAGAGTCAGCAACAAGTCAGGATACAGTTTTTCAATCAAGACAGCTTCTTCTCACCCATGCTGCAGGCATGCTACTTCTCTCTGGCTTCAGCCTCTGCTCTCTTTGGACCAGTATTACAAAACTCTTAGCTTTGCCAATAGGCACCCAAAGAGGCACCCTATTCTGCCAGAAAGCCTCCTCCCTGAAGACTTTCAGCTTTCTCGCTCCCTGGACAAAGACGCCCACCTCTCTGTCTCATGCCAGTCTCTTGATTCTGCAGCTTCTGCTGCTGCCATCTTTCTGCCACCTCTCTCTCTCTCTCTGCCAAGGCAGTCCAGCACAGGGATCTCATGTCCAAGGACACACTCCACTCCCGGTTGTTCCTCTGTCTTAGTGTAAATGAGATCCCCCTTGCTGTGAGTTGGATCTGACTCAACGGCAGTGAGTTGTTTTCTACCTCTGGGATGGCTCTTTTTAAACCTAACAGAATGGCAAAAGTGACCAAGCCCCATATTGGGGTTCCATAAACATTATTTGCATTGACCTACCCTTACAAGTGTGGCATGTACCTTATTTACATTATTCACAAACTATCTAATCTCTGTGGTAGGCCACATCCACCTCACATTTGCACAGTTCCAACCAGTCATCTGTTGAACATTACAAAGACCATGGCCAGAAAAGGCATATTAAATGAGTCATTGCATCACAATGACATTGGATTTTATCAGTTGCAGTAATAATTCCACTTGTGGAAGATTTTGGATCCTCTGGATTATCCCTGGGAATGAGGATGGTGTTTCTAGTCAGAAAATTAGTGAGAGTTGTCTGTATGGTTCTTTTCTTTTTTTCATGTATTTCTCAGTAATATCTCAGTGCTTCCTGAATCTCCCTATTGGCTTTAGCAAAGTGATCAACATTTGGGTTCATGTTTAGTTTAGATAAACACTCCAGCTAATCCTTTCACTATAAAATTTTTTGACAACTTCTCTCCCTCCTCTTCCTCATTTATTTCTTCTTTGGTTATTTCTTTACTCTTCAAAATCCATTAAGTACTGGTCCATCAACTCTCCCCTTCTTCGTGATCTGTTAGCTGTTTTACATTGCAATATGAAGTTCTAGGTTTGGCATTCTTGCCATACGGATGACTTTTCCACTGATTTCTTTGATTATATTATCCTGATCAGATGCTTGGAGCATGTTCACATAACTCAGAATTCTTTTCCCCAAATTCCCTGCATGCATTTTCTTATAACTTCTACCTAGGAAGATATACTAACAATACATGTTTTTTAAAAAAGGAAGTCATAAGTGCAGTTCATGGTAACTCAAATGCATAAGCAAGGGTAGATTACCCAATAAGCAAGGTATGTGCTTACTAACTAATCTGTAATGAATAGTTTCACATGTTTCTCACCACGGATATGATGAAACCCATGTGAAATTGTTCACTACAGATAAGTAAGTAAACACAAGTAAGCCCTGCTTTGCTTACTGGGTACCCCATCCCTGTCAAGTATTGTCAGTTTAAAAAGAGGTTTTGATTCTGTAGGTAGATGCTGTGAGGTTGGGAGAAAGACCAATACTGGCTATACGTAGAAACAGTATCTTTGATAGGGTGAAAAATATGAAATTGTTCACTACAGATTAGTAAGTAAGCACAAGGAAGCCCATGCTTACCTTATTGGGTAATCCAACACTGGTCGTAAGTTGGGGACTGCCTGTATTACTTTTCTTGGCATTGAAATAGCTATCACTGCTATCAGGATGCCATAACTTTGTCATTTACATGACAGTTATATGGTATTTATAAGAATACAGGCTTGAGGGGCTTAAATACCCTTTCTACTTCCTGTACAAGGCTACTTTAAATCAATAACTGAGGAAATATATGTATGTATACATATGTGCACATGCATATACACATATTTCTATATATGCATAGATAGTATACATACGTATAGATAGATATTGCTTGAACAATTTCTCTTAGAAAGATCAGCACAAGGCTGGTCCCCATAAGGTGGAAGTTAAAGATGTCCCAAATGTCCAAACTACTGTGCCACTCCATCATTGCAGACATTAACTCCTCCTCCTCCTCTCAGTAATCTCCCATCTTAGAGTTCTATATTTTGCTATAATGCCTTACAGAACTCACAGACACCCAAGGGATCATCTCATGTAGTGCTGGTGGAGGCTGGAAGGCTGGCAAGTCCCAGGTTTGTGAGTAGGTCTGGAGGATCCTCCCAGTTCTCAGGGTTTGACGAACCTCCATCAGCAGATCAGATGTTGGCTGCTGTCCCAAATTCAGGGGTGAGATGAGGATGAGCCAAAACACAGAACTGGAGCAAGAGGAGGGTGAAACTTTCCAGGAGATTCATAGGTATACCCTCAAGGAAACTAAGCGTGGTGATTTCACTTATACCTTCCAGCAAGGCAGGACTCAAGGTATATCCCACCTGTGTTGCTCCAACAGAAATAACCCAAGTGGATGGCTTTAACAATCAGCAGCTACTCAGTTGCTCATGGCAAATCCCACCACAGAGCTGATTGCCAGCCGTTATAGGGAAGACTACTACCAGCTGCCCAGCCAAGATGACACCCAACCTTAACTACCACACCACCCCAAACAGGCATGGATAATAGGATTTACAGTACATCACAAAATGGAGGACAATGGCTAGAAGGGCCACATCAGGCAATTAACCACACATATATAAACCAAAAACCAGTGGCTGTTGAGTCACCTCCAACTTACAGCAACCTCATGTATGCAGTATAGTATAGTGCTGCACCCCATAGAATTTTCATGGCTATGACCTTTCAGAGGCAGATTGCACCCTTTTTTCCAAGTGCATTCAAACTATCCAACTTTCAGTTAATAACCCAGTGCTTAATCATTGCACCACCCAGGGACTCCTACAGATACATACCTATGTATCTATATTGGGACTCTGAAACATTTTTATAATCCTATTTGCCTAGATTGACTGCTGTTTCTACTAAAATGTTTTAATATAATTTTACTAGCAAAATGGAATTTAACAAAGAAGAAGAAGGAGAGAGGCTTTTATGAAATATGTTAAATTAACCACCTAAGTTTTTGTCAGTATTATTATTCTTCTTGTACATATACCTTTAAGACAGGGTCACACCTTCCTGATCACCTGGCCACTTCTTTTCACTGCTTCTTCACCATTATTTCCTGTTCCCACTGTGCTTGCAATTCCCCACAGCTGGTCCTTTGGAAGAGGAGCGGTTTGGCTTCCCAGCGTTCAGTGGCATCTCTCGCCTGACCTGGCTGGTCTCCCTCTTCGGGGAACTTTCTCTTGTGTCTGCCACTTTGGAGGAACAAAAGGAAGACCAGTTTATGAAGATGACTGTGTGCTTGGAGACTGAGAACAAACGGTGAGTCATGAGAGACCATGAGGGACTGAATGTTCACGAGGAGGAATCCAGAGGGGAGACTGAGGCCGGGACCTCACCCACCTCCCAGGTGGACTCTGCCCTGCACACAGGCCAGGTTCTGATAATTCACTTGTGCAGCCTGGAAGGTTGGTACAACAAATGGAATCCCATTGGCCAGTAAGTAAATAGAAGCTTACAGAATGCAAGCAGGTTGCCTAAGCCATGCAAGTAATTAATAATAAAATTTAGTAGTAGAAATTGAGTTAACTCCATGACCTGTTCCATAATAAAACATTTTCCCATGTTTTATTATGAAAAATTTTCAGACATAGAGTAAAGCTAAATGAAGTTTTCAGTGAATACTTGTATACCTACCACCTAGATGCTACTATTAACATTTTGCTCTCCTTGCTTATTCCGTCTATCCAAGTATTCATTCCTCCATGTGACCAGAAGTTAAAGTTCTGTTTATCAGCTTTACCATCACATGACACAATCACACTGTTCCCAAAATCTTGTGACACTGTTTCTCATTGTGGTTTGTTGCCATCAAGTTGGCTTTTACACATGATAAGCCCATGTATAACAGAAAAAAGTATTGCCTGGTCCTGCGCCATGATCACGATTATCAGCAGGCTTGAGTCTGTTGTTGCTTTCCAGCACTCTATCGGACTGTATTCTCTTGGCATCCACAGGGTTTTCATTGGCTAAATGTTGGACATAGATTGCTAGTCCTTTCTTCCTACTCTATTTTAGTCTGAAAGCTCTACTGAAACCTGTCCACTATGGGTGTGCCTACCGGTATTTGAAATACCAGTGTCATATCTTCCAGCATCATAGCCACACACATGCTACCACAGTATGACAAGTCTTTTTAAACCAAAGTATGCTCATAATTTTCCTTGAAAAGCATTCATGCTGTGTAAAATATTTGAACAGTAATGGTTTTAGAGCATTTCTGTGTGTGTTTCCAGGTAAGCGGGTTCTCCTGGTAGTATAAGAAACAGACCTTTGGATATTTGAAAGAACAAGAACAATACAAAAGGAGGGGGATATTTGAATCCCTAAATGGAACCTGATCTATCTGCGTGTTGAGATGTTTCTCCAGGCTGGGAGGAAGGGAGCAGCCAAGCAGGTGAAGGAAGCCATGAAGTGGCTGGAGGTGCTACGTGTACAGTGGGCTGCAGCAGTGGCCCTAAGCTCCTGCTCTCTGGGTGTGGGAGGATTAGCATGGCAGCTGTGGGCAGAACCATCCACAGACCACTGCGGTCCCTGTAATCAGAGCTAAAGGAAGCTCGGGGCACCTGGAGAGGGGAGATCAGGCTTCTCAGAAGGAGATGCTGTGCTTGGTCATGAGGTTTAGGTGTGAGTCATCCAGGGAACCATTTTGTGGGGAGCAGAGTCTGACTTTGGTGCTGCACAGGAGGGGCATTAGATAAGAGTGGAAGAAATGGCCAATACCACACTAACAACTTCTTAAACTCATATAGTGCTTTCCACTTCACAAAATGCCTGTTTGATCTCACAACACCACCATGACATAGATAAAGCTGTATGCTTATATTATTATTTATTTTTATTGATGGGAAAATTGAGGTTTAGGAAACCTCTTAATTGACATTTTCACATTCCCTCAAATCCTAAGACTCTACAGTATATGGAAGGACATGAGAAACTCCCTTAGGTGGGTCACAATATGTAGAATACCCCAACCCTCTTTTCATCCAGTGCCAAAAGAACATAGTGAACAAGTTACATGAAAATTAATCTTTGCCATCACATTCCAGAACATCTGAGTGGCTGTACCTTGATTTAAAAAAAAAAAAAAAAAAATCTAGCCAAGAGAATTCATTTAATATTTTAGATGAAGTTAGAGCAGCTTTTTGGTAGCATTTGTAATATTTATTTTCTTTGAATCAAGCCCAGAAATTGCTATGGATGGATTGGATGCCTTACTTTTACTAATTTAACTGCTGTTTCCAGACCTGACTATGGATTTTTGATTTATGGGCTAGCATTAAATACACGTGGATCATTTCATTGACATCCAGAATAGAAAGTTTACTGTACCGCATTTCTTCAGAGCAGGCTGATCCTCACTGGGCTGATGTGTACACCGCGTGGGAAAGAGAAAAGCCATCCTGTCCTATGGACATGCCCTGGCTTCAGACTGTATGTTGGAAGAATGCTTTGGGGTTTGCCAGCCTCTCCTCTGACACTCCCAAAGGTTATCTGAATCTGCAGGCTGGATTCTCTCAGCTAGAAGTAGACACTCTTTCAAAGTTTGTCATGACACATTAGGAGTCACTGCCAGGAATCTCAGGGGACGTGGTTCCTTCTGTTATATTTACCTTCAGACAACATGGTGGAATGGAGCGGAACATGGCAGGGGCATTGGTTAGAGGGTAAGGGGAGTGATCTTGAAAGGTCACCAATAAAAGGAGTAGCAAGATAGTGATTATCACAGAATAAATCTCTGTGGTAACAAGTGCTGTTGTTTGTTAACTGCCATTGATTGATTCAGCCCCTGACACGTGGCCGCACACACAACAGAAGGAAACATTGCTTGATCCTGCGCTGTTCCTCATGATCAGTTGCAGATCAGATCATTGTGATCCATAAGGTTTTCACTGGCTGATTTTCAGAAGTAGGTCATTAGGCCTTTCTTCCTAGTCTCTTTTAATCTGGAAACTCCACTGAAACCTGTTCAGCATCATAGAAACGTGTAAGCCTCCACTGTTTAACAGTGGTAGCTGTTCATATAGTGTGCTTTGGTCAGGAATTGAACCCAGTGCACCTGCATGGAAGGTGAGAATTCTGCCACTGAGCCACTTATGCAAGTGTTAAGATTAACTGATATTTGAATGCTTGCTATGTGCCAGCATTAGACCTTTTATAAGGATATACTTGTTTAATCTTTACACCAGCTCTCTGAATTATTATCACCTAGGTAACTGAGGCTCAGAAGGGTTAAGAAACTTGCCCAAGGACACAGTGGTAGTATAGAATAATAATAAGTGGTAGTAGAATTCAAATTCAGGTGGCCTATCTGCAGACCCCAAGCTGCCACACCTTTGCCCTAGCAGTGGGAAGGGAATGTCATGGGAAACACACCAGGATCTGTCTATACCTTATCGTAGTCCTCACATGTCATTGAGGTAGGTATCATTAGCCCCAGAGCCCAGAGTTAGCCAGAAAACTAACTCTCAAACCCATGTTCTTTCCATTTTACCAGAAATTTTCAAACTTTTGAAGAATAAGCATTAGGCTCCTTTCTTCCACTCAAGTCTAGTGTGGCTACCCAATATATAAAGAGGCACAGGTATTTACTCTCCTATGGAGCCAGCTGGTAGGAGTGGTGCCAATACTGTGCCTGCCCACTCTTCCTCCAGGGCTTGGAGAAGAATCCTGTTAGGAAATCCTACCTCACCGTGCTGAAGCCAGACACTGACACTAGGCTTTGAGAAACAACTCCTATTCTACTTTTATAAGAAGTCTGTGTCCAGGTTGGTAAGATCAATTTGTTGCTGGAGTGAACACTAATACTTGCAAATGGCAGTTGTCACAGGGCAGACGAGCAGAGGACCATCTGTGAAGCTGTCAGGCGCATGTTCTTAGTCCTAGTGTCTGCAGCCAAGTGCTGCCCAAGCCCAAATCCAAGTGGGGAATATCTGCCTTTGGCCCAGGTTCCACCCTCAGCTTTACTCCACACAGCTGGTGGGAAAGTGCCAACAACCAATGTCCTTACATAAATCCATAATTAGGAAACAGACAGACCTTTCACATTTTCAGTAGAAGTGGCCACAAAAAGAGCCAGGAATTAATTCTATAAATGTCTCTCCTGCTATCTTCTTGCCCTTATGGGTTATGCCATGGCTCCTCCAGTGTAGGTAGTAGTAAGCTGGACTAGCCCAGGGAGGTCTTCGTTACCTAAATTGGAGGCAGACCTGAGTCTCCTGCAACACCAGAAACAGTGTAAGGGTCTTGGACCCTTTCCCTGCAACCCCACACCTAAATCTTAAGCTGTATTATGGCCTACCCACTCTAGAGGCAGAAATGACAAGCTGCTCAAAAAGAGGACAAAGGCAGTTTTCTGTTCATTCCTTAGCACTAGTCTAACCTGCCTACTACAGGCTGACCTTAATCCCAGAGCTGGTACTCAGGTCACAGCAGGAAGGCCAGCAGCCCCTCTGCATGCTCAATGTTGAATGCCTTTTTAGCATTGCTGTCCAACAAAATGCCTTGTCCTTGACCCTGGCTCATCCCTGTGGAAGAAGTAAAGGGAGGCAAAAGCAAAGAGAAGCATCCAGAGACCAACACCAAGTCACGTCACTCCTAGGACTTTGTTCTAAGAAGGAGGTGGGGAAAAACACACACACACATTATATTACTTTAGCTAATATATTAGCACATGAAGATATTGAATGCAAGATACATGCATTAAGTAAAAATTAGAAAGAGCTTTGGATATTTGGCAATAATAAAAGTGAATAAATCATATAATCAATTGCACATGATATGCAAACAAAAATAATTACAATAACAATATCTATAGGATCATAAAATATTTTAAAGTAAACCCCCCAAAAGAAGTAAAAGAAATCATTTGTACATTATAATTTACATTTATGTAAAACTTACACCCATATACATATCAGCAAATATTTGAAAGGATTTCGTCAAACTGAAGATACTTGTACATAGGTGGGAAAATTATAGATTTGTGTTTATTTATTTAAAAAGTCCTTAAATTAATGCTGTTTTGTTTCAGACTCTAAAACAGATTTTATCCTCTTTTCTGTTATATTAGTCAATAAAACTTTTTTCTCTAGGTTAGTCTTCTTTGGAGAAGGTGTTCTCTGTTTTCCATTAAGCAGATAGCAGGGCTCTTGACTGTTATGAAGAGAGAAAAGATTAACCCAGAGAAAAGAGAGGGTTTAGAAAAGTGCTATCTGCCCTAGTTGGATTTCAAATGTTTATGAGTGCTTAACATGAGCTTAGGGGGGAAATCTAAGTGCAATGGGAGGTACTTTGTTAACCAGCAGTTAGAGTCTGATATTTTCTGTCATGTGTTTGGGATCATAGACTTCACTGAGATTCTGATGAAAACTAAGAACTCTCTTTCATGAAAATGCACATCCATATGGAAACAGCACTTTTAAGTGGTTTGTAGACTGCTTCATCCCATTCCCAAGAGACATTCATGAGACTCCCAGTAAAAACTTCTGAATCACAAACTGGTGTTCATGCAAAATCATTGGATGAATTCTCCTGCTTGATGGCATAATTAAATAAAGGTTGATAGTGAAAGTAGAGACACAGTCACCATGACTGATGAGAAGTTTCCGAGGCTGGTGGAAGTCAGGATGCCATGAGACCAGGTTGAGCACCAGCCACAGGGGGGACAGGAGGGAAGTGGGCACCTGTTGTCAGCTGGGCAGGGACCAGCCAGCATCCCTCTGTGTTCATTCCTGTATGATTGCTGACGTGTGAATCCTCTGCCCTTGCAGCCCACTGACATGGACTGAAGAGAAAGGGCCTGGCCTAAAACGGAACAGATATTTAAGCTTCCATTTCAAATCTGGGTCCCTGGAGAATGTGCCCAATGTTGGCATCAATAAGAACATTTTCCTGAAAGATCAAAATATATTTGTCCAAAAACTCTTGGGCCAGTTCTCTGAGAAACAGCTGGCTGCAGAGAAGAAGCGCATCCTGCACTGCCTGGGGCTTGCTGAAGAAATCCAGAAGCACTGCCGCCCAAAGAAATAAGATTGGGGGGGCGTGGCACTTCAACTATGGCACCAGAGTTTTCTTATACCAAGACCTGATCTTTATTCTGATAATTAAACAAGTTTTCTTGGCTAAACAGAATTTGCTTATTGTCATGAGCTGTGTATTGGGGTAACATTAGGGGTGTTTTGTTTCTCTAGTGCTGCTGTAACAGACATAGCACAAGTGGGTGGCTTTACAAACAGGAGTTTTATTCTTTTACAGTTCAGGAGGCTAGAAGTCCAAGTTCAAAGTGCCAGCTCTAGGGGCTAGGTGAAATCCCCTTGACCTTGGGCTTCACCTCTGCCTCTTGCTTCCAGCTGACTGGCGCTGGAGGCATCTCTTAACTCTGGCAGCTGCTGGCTGCTGAGGCTGACAAACCCAAAGTCAACAAGTAAAATGGCACAGGCCCAAGATTATCAAGCAACACGGCAGGCCACAAGTTCAAGTCCAGAAACAGTCCCAAGATCAGCAGGAACACTGATGACTTAGCCAAATGCAGGATCCAGATGTGCCAAGAAGCTTGAAATCCCTTTTTTTTTTTTAATTTTTAGTGTGATTTGGGTGAAAGTTTACAGAGCAAATTCATTTTCCATACAGCAGCTCACATACACTTTGTCTCATGACATTGACTGCAATTTCCCACAAACAACAGCTTCCTTCCCACTTCCTCCCCATAGTTACCTCTTCCCTCCCATGCACTCCTGCCCCCTTCCAGCAAGCTGTCTCCTTGTGCATACACAGCCCTTCTATTCTTCCATGATTGATCTCTCTAAGGAGTGTATTTACCTAATGTAAATGTTCACCTCATATGCCTATCTTTTGTTTGGCTGGAAGCCACAGAAATGGGTTCTATTCCAGACCTGAAGGGCAGCTAGGGGGTCACAGTCTCAGGGGTTCCACCAGGCTCTATCAGACCAGCAAACCTGGTCCCCCCCCCTTTTTTTTTTTTAATGATTTTGTGTTTTGTTCCACACTGTTCTCCCACTCTATCCAGGATCTCCTACAGAGATCCTTTTCCTAGTGGTTGACAGTGGTAGCCAGGCACCATCTAGTTCTTCTGCTCTCATAGTCATATAGGCTGAGGATCACATGGTATACCAGTCCTTTGGACTAATTGTTTCCATGCATTTTTGGTTTTCTTCATTTTTCTTTGCTCTGGACAAGGACACACCCATTGTTGCCTCTAGATGGCCCCTTGCAAGCTTTTAAGAATCCCAGTCGCTACTTGCCAAAATAGGACATGGAACAATGTTTTTGTGTAGTATGTTATGCCAATGAAGCTTGATGTCCCCTGAAACCATGGTCCCAAGCCCACAGGTCCAACTACTTGCTCCCTCCAGGTAGCTGGCTGTGGCCAAGAAGTGACTACAACCTTGTCCCTTGTCAGCTTTACTATATACCTGGGAATTCTTATAGAACATAAAAATACACTTGTAGAAACATTGCTGAGACCTTTTTTTTAGAGTGTTTCCTTATATACTGGAAGGGAGTTGATTATACCACACTCAATCTCATCATGGGGAATAACTGCCTCCAGCTACCCAGCCATTCAAAACCATGGCCCAGCCAAGTTGACACACAACTTTAACTACCACATAGGGGTTGGGAGATGTGCACAGTGGTGACCATGAGCAAGCTAACCTTGGTTGAGTTGAGCTAGATGCCTTATTTGCCTGGTTTCGTTTACTTTCTGGTGGCATAGTGCCTAAGGCACTTGACTGCTAACCAGAAGGCTGGTGGTTCAAACCCACCAGCCACTCCTCAGAAGGAAAGTTGGGCAATTTAATTCCGTAGTGATACTGTCTTGGAAACCCAAGGAGGGGTCACTATGAGTCAGATCCGACTCCATGGCTGTGGTTGCATTATAACCCTATAAAGGGGACATTGGTGGTTAAGTTGGTGGGTTTCCATGTGGGAGACCCAGGTTTGGCTTATGGCCAGTGCACCACCTAAGTGGGGAAGCCACCACCCATCAGTCAGTTGAAGCTTATGTGTTACTGTGATGCTGAACAGGTTTCAATGGAACTCCATACTAAGATGGACTAGAAAGAAAGACCTGGTGATCTACTTCTGAAAATGAGCCATTGAAAACCCTATGGATCACAACAGTCTGATCTGCAATCAATCATAGGGGTAGCACAGGACCAGACAGCATTTAGTTCTATTGTGCATAGGGATGCCATGAGTTGGGCTGATTTGACAGCAGCTAACGACAACACCACCAACCCTATGACACAGGCATTACCCTACTGGTTTTGTTTAGGTTACTGGAAAATCTTGTTTGAGGTCACCCGTATAGTAAATAACAGGACTGGATTTTAAATCCTACCCATTCCCTGAACTACTACAAACACTGCCTTAAAACTCACTCTTTCCTAGTTTGGGGAATTTTCTTTCCCCAAAAAACAATTTGATTAGGCAACTCTGCTAGGTGCTGAGGATTCTAAAAATGATAAGATGTAGCCACTGCCTTCAGTTCATGTGAGAGGATTTGAGGTCTGAGATTTCCCGATTCAGGTTGCTGTCCAAGTTGAAGAAAAGAAGCCTCTGTACTACTGCAGGAATGTTCCTAAATTCTGGGTCCTCCATGCAGGCTTCATTTGTGCAGGCCCTCCCTGCCCTCACCCCTCCTCCTTGTGACATCCTAAGTGGTAAAACTGTGAGGGACTAGGCCACCCTTTCTCTGGCCTGACTCATCCTTAGGAGGCACTGAGTTTTTGGCTGGTCCACGTGGGGGGTGACTAGGGTGTGATAGGCACTTCCTCTGCAGTTGTGAAAAATAAATTACTTTAAGAAAGGGCAGATTAGCAAACATTTGGCTGCAATCCCAGCCATGTTCCCCAATCAGCTTTATCGTAATAAAACCCACTCTTTTGTAACTATTTTCTTCTCTCTTTCTCCCTCTCTATCACTTGCATCTATAGCTTCATCTAGCCCCAAAAATGAAAGACAAGGAAGGAATGTTCATTATTGGACCCCTAAAATTCCAACAATAAGCCTTGTCCTCTACCTGAATGAATCGGAAGAAAAAAGGGGAGACTATTGTAGCAGATGACACTAGAGGTCCTCTGGAGAAGGCTCACCCTTGGAAAGATCCCTTGATATGTCAGCCTATCTGTAGTGGAGCGTGAGGGGTAGAGAAGGAGACTGTTACAGGAGGGAAAGCTTAGGGGACTGAGGTTGATGGGTTGAAAGGAAACAGACAGACAAGCCTCTCTGCAAAAGTAATAAACAGGAATTTAAATGGGAAAGGTGAAGGGAATAAGGCCCAGATGAACTAAACCCTAATACTCGAAGTATGGCGTGCTGACCAGCAGCTGCAACATTGACCTGGCCTGCGATTATTCAGGAGCTCTGGTGGGACTGTGGTTGAAGCATTAGGATGCTAACGACCAGCTGCTCCATCTCCATGGAGAAAGATGAGGCAATCTGCTTCTGTAAAGATTTACAGCCTTGGAAACCCCATGGGGCAGTTCACTGCCCTATAGGCGGTCACTATGAATCAGAATCAACTCAATGGCAGTGGGTTTGGTTTGGGCTTTGGGAGCTTATTAGAAATGGAAATTCATGGACCCACTCCAGTCCTGCTGAGTCATGATCTGAATTTTAAAAAGATCATCAGGTGATTCATATGCAAATCAAAGTCTCTTGGAGCTTATAGATTAATAAGGAAGAAAGGTGTTATTCCAATTGTAAGTATTAAAGTACAACTGTGAGGAATATAGCAAAGAGTATTTTTAAAGTCTGTGCTTGGAAATAGCCAAATGGTGGAAACAATGGAAGTATCTATCCACAAATGAATGGATAAATAGAATGTGGTATATATATCCATGCAGTGGAATTTTATTCAGTCAGAGAAATGAGTTCTGATACATGCTACAACATGTGTAAGCTTTGAAAACATATTGAATGGAGTATATCAGACACAAAAATAAATATTCTATGATTGCACTTACATGAAATATGTAGAATAGACAAATACATAAAAACAGTAGATTAGAGGTTTCTGTGGTGGTAGGGGGAACTAGGAAATGATTACTTAATGGGCACAGCTTATGTTCGTGGTGATGACAAAATTTAGGAAATAGATGGTAAATTGTGAAAGAAATTAATGCCACTGAATTGTACAATTAGAAATTGTTAAAATAGCAAATTTTATATTATTTATATTTTGCCACAGTAATTTAAAAAGAAAAGAAACTTGTATTAGGAAGAGATTTTCTAGGCAGGAAGTTAGGAAGACTTGCCTAAAGAGGTACCCTGAAACTTAAACGCTGAGAAGGAATTGAAGCAGGTGCGGGTGGACAAGCTGGAGCGGGGCAGTGGGGGGTGGTCATCCTGGGCAGAAGGAACAGCATGTGCAAAACATGTGTTCAGCCAGGCCAGAGGCCAGCACTACCCCTGGGCTTAACAGGTCCAGGTAGCTTAAATTTCTTTTTTGTCATTTCCAGTTGACTTTTCTAAACCCAGCTTAAAAAAAAAGAAAAAAAAAATGTGGAATGAGAATGAGGTACTTAGAAACAATAAAAAGTCTCTTTCACTTTAAAAACAACAACAACAACAAATATATATATATATATATATATATATATATAGTACTTGGAAGCTCTGGTGGCATAGTGCTAAGGCATTTGACTGCTAACCAGAAGGCTGGTGGTTCAAACCCACCAGCCACTCCTCAGAAGGAAGGTTGGGCAATCTAATTCCACAGAGATACCACCTCAGAAACGCAAAGAGGGGTCTAATACTAAGTACCATTTATTAAGCAAGCAATATACTCCAGGCCCGGTGCTAAGGTTTAATACCCTAATCCATTTACTCTTCCTAATTATTCTATAGGCCATACAAGTTCAGCGCTATTTTCATGTACCTTTTTTAATACATGATGAAGCTGGATTTGGAATTTCAGCAACATGGCTAGCCTGACTCACCTTCTAAATCAGAGATTGCTAAACTTCTGCCTGAAGGCCAAGTCTGGCCCACTGCCTGTTTGTGTAAAATTTTATTGTCACACAGCCCTACTCATTCATTTACGTATTGTTTGTGGCTGCTTTCACACTACAATGGCAGAAGTGGAGTCAT